GCGAAATGCAGCAGCCGGTTACCCTCAAAGAAATCTAGATATGTTGTTAGGAAAAGGACCTTATGAGGGTCAACGGCAACAAATTGAATATGATCCTGCTATATATGCACAAATTGCTGCAGACGCAGTTAGGGCATGGAAGACTTTACAAGGACATGGAGATTTACAAGGTCAGCTATCTAAGGTAATACAGAGAGCTAATGAACCTTACGCTGACTTTGTAGATAGGCTAATTCAAACGGCTGCCAAAATTTTTGGGGATACAGAACAAGCAATGCCATTAATAAAACAACTGGCTTATGACCAAGCAAATCGTTGCTGCAGAGAGGTTATTAGACCATGGAGACATGAAGATTTAAACACATATATTAAATTATGTAGAGATATTAATGAACAAGGGCAAGTCTTGGCAGCTGCAGTACAACAGGCTTTAGATGCCAGGCCAAAAACATGCTATGATTGTGAACAAACAGGACATTTTAAAAGGAATTGCCCCATAGGAGGAGGGTTTAACAAAAGTAGGTATCAAAGGAATAGAATACCAGGTATTTGCCCACGATGCCGTAGAGGGAGACATTGGGCTAATGAATGCCGTTCTCAAACCACCATAGAAGGTACTCCCTTATCAAAAAACGGACAAAGACCAGGTATTTATCCAAGATATCGTGGAGAAAGGCATCAGGCTCCATTGCCAAAAAACGGACAGGGGGGCCCAATGCTCCGGGGCCCACAACCACAAATATACGGGGCAGTGGAGGATCCCAGCAACACCATCAGGGTAGTGCCCAGGACACATTGTCCATTAAATCCCTCATCAGACAAACCCGAGGGAGCGCAGGGTTGGACATCTGTGCCTCTGCCAGAGCAGTATTAACTCCAGAGATGGGAGTTCAAATCATTCCCACAGGAGTAAAAGGACCTCTTCCCCAAGGAACAGTAGGCTTATTATTGGGACGTAGTTCATCTACATTAAAAGGACTTATGATAAGTCCTGGGGTAATTGATCCCGATTATGTAGGTGAAATAAAAATTATAGCTAGTTCTCCAAGAGGTATATCAGTAATTTCACCTGGAGATAGAATAGCACAGTTGTTAATAATACCCAGCCTACATAATAAATTTCCTAGTCATAGTGTAGAAAGAGGTTCCAGGGGATTAGGCTCCACAGGTGTAGATTGGGCTATGTTGTCTTTAAATTTAGATTCTCGCCCAATGCTAAAACTAAATATTCAAGGTCATGAGTTTAATGGGCTACTGGACACAGGAGCTGACCTTAGCATCATATCTCGTCAAGAATGGCCAAAACATTGGCCATTACAACAAGCCACTCAAACGCTTCGAGGCCTAGGAGTGGCGACTAATCCCCATAGAAGTTCTATGATATTAGATTGGAAGGATCCTGAAGGATGTGAAGGAACTATACAGCCATATGTATTGGATCATCTTCCTATAAATTTATGGGGACGAGATGTCCTAGATCAATTAGGTTTGACGTTAACAAATAATATCAATCCTAATGTGCCCACTACTAGAGCTAGACAAGGCTTTAGGAAAGAAAAAAGATTAGGAAAACAAGGGCAAGGTATAGCAGCACCAGTACAAATAGATCAAGGAACAGACAGACATGGGTTGGATTTTCAGAAAGGGCCACTGAGACAATCAAAATTACTTGGAAATCAGAAAGACCAGTGTGGGTTCCTCAGTGGCCCCTGACTAAAGAAAAGATACAAGTAGCCCATGATCTGGTCAAACAACAATTAACGGAAGGACATATACAACCTTCCATATCTCCCCATAATACTCCCATTTTTGTCATCAAAAAGATATCCAGAACTCCAGCTTGGCCATTCTTACATCTGCGACAGTGATTAACCAGGATCTATTTTATTATTGCATTTTTCCACATCATAAGGTTCTATTTTTATTTTTTGAGCTCATACAAACCTAGGTTAATGTTTTTCTGATCAGTTTTATTTTTTGACTGTGGAGTTTTTAAACATTGCAATGGAGATTTCACCTAGGTAAAGCTACAAGGCCTTTACTATTTTCTTATGTGTTGTACGTTTGTGTACACTCTTGTGTTTTGTGTTGTATGTCTGTATGTGCGTATGCCCATATTTCTTATATGAGGAGCGCTCATGAAAAAATGGATCCGAATTATTATTTTTTTTTATTCACGTGATTTAAATGGTTTAATTTAAATTATGTAAACAGCTGTTAAGGATTGTTTTTAAAGGTGGTTAACAGATCTGTTTGTTTACTAGTTTAAATTAGGTAAAAGGCTGTTAAGGATTGTTTTTAAAGTAGGTTAACAGATCTGTTTGTTTACTTTCACCTTTCCTTTTCATTATATTTAATAATTCTTTTCAGGATAATGTCTCTTTAGCATCATTGCCAGAATTCCTATCTCCATCCCAGTGCCAGTGAAGAACTCAACAAGTAATGCTCAATCAAGGAGTTAACTTACTTTGGGAGGAAACGGATTTTGGGAGGAAATGGACATATTGATAGATTCCTCCGCTTTGAACTGCTTGCAGAACTTGCCTGGACTATGTAACTATCGTTTGGTGCAGCGAATTGTGGTAATGCTGGCATATCTTTGCTGATGGTGTCACCAGTGATGCAATTTTTCCCAAGGAGCCGTCAATTGGCTTGGTGTCGTGGCATTTCTGTATCCTCCTCCCTTCTGCTAGTGATGGTCTAAAATTTGGGGGCCAATGGCTTATGCTGGACCGGTAGTCAGTGACGGGTATGATCCAATTGCAGTGGTATCAACCTAAGACAGGAGGCTGACGCCTAAAGGTCAGTTTTCCGATGACGGGTAAGAACCATATGTTGAATTGGACAACCTACCAGGCACGGTCCATAAGCCACATTAACCTCACTCCCCCACTGGCACCAAGGCCAAATTTGGGGGCCAACAGAGGTGAGGCAAAGAACCTCACCCCCCCACTGGTGCATAGACCTATCCACAAGTATGGCTGTATGCTGGACCGGTAGTCAGTGACGGGTATGATTCAATTGCAGTGGTATCAACCTAAGACAGGAGGCTGACGCCTAAAGGTCAGTTTTCCGATGACGGGTAAGAACCATATGTTGAATTGGACAACCTACCAGGCACGGTCCTTAAGCCGCATTGCTTGTTGTTTAATTAATCAGAAGGGGGGAGATGCTGGGAGCCATTAGCCAAGTAAGTATGACAATTTCCTTGCCAGCGTACCCCATGTTGCAGTGACATTGAATGTACTTAACCTTGCTCAAGGACCAAGGCAGATTAGGGTGTTCCCGGTTTTAAGATAATCTTGTTTAGGGCGTTCCCAGTTTAGGTTCCAGGTTTAAGGTTTAAGATTATTCCTGCTGGGAATAGGGCGTATCCTGCTGCCTGAGTTCCCCTTGAGTTCTCACGGGATTCAGACAGCATATTTTGGAGATAGAAGCCCAGTGGAGGTGAATTTGGGAGAGAAGGAGGATTTGGGAAGAGAACGTGGATTTCCCCAGAACGTGATTGTAGACGGCTGGTGTGAGTTCGGGAATAAAGAGTTGCTGTTTGAATCTACAAGCTGTGTGGTGGCTCGTGATTGTGTGCCCAGCCAGACTGCGGCATCTTCTGAGAGTGACCCTTGTTAATCCAGCTCTTGGAGCTAGGGATAGTCCTGAATTTAGTCACTGGAGTGGTGAAGAGGGAGAAGAGGAAGGGGGAGGGGAAGTGCTCTTTGCTAAAGTCTCCATATTTGGAAGACAGGTTTAGATTATAACCATATATCTATATGTACATTTTTGGTAAATTGTGTTTTTGTGCACAAAGTTCATACTTCATTTCACAATATCTAAGCTTTCTAGATGCTTGAGGTGACAGTGAATCATAAAAAGTAGTGCTAGTGAATTAGCCAACTTCTAAATATCTTTTTGTTATAATTGATAGAAAAGATGCATCTTGGACATGGAATTGTTTTATCTGTGGGCATTGTGTATCAGGACTTGTTCATTAGGCTGGCAGCAGAGGGGCACAGGGAAACACAGAAAGATGGAAGCAAGTGCTCAAAGATTTACATTTTGATGTAAGCCACTGGTGTGTGTGCATCTTATGGCTGTACTATAGGAATATTTTAATTCACTGGGAACATGCATTATTGCTAATATTTTAGTAGTAGAAATCTGTTAATGAAACAAGCTTGGTGTATTCTGTTGCTGTTTCATTTTAAATTGAGCATTAAGGGAATGAATTGTTTTAGTTGTAACTCTGCCAATATGTCTATCTAGAGGCCTGTTGCCATTTCTGTCTTCAGTGAAATTTTTGTCCCCAAGAAAGGATAACAGATTGAGTTGGTGTAGTGTATTCTTGGTTATCAAAAAATACTCATGTAGCTTCGGGATTTTGAATTGGTGAATATTCATGATGTGTGGAAAAGCACACACCACAATCTCAATCACACAAAATGGGATATTGTGTATATATGCATACAACCTAGAGGGACACGTCCAACTAAGCTTCTTGTGACTGGATGACTTTGTTCTTTGCTTGTGTGTGTGTGTGTGTTTTTTTTCCTGTAATCTACAATTTACTTTTAAAAAATAAAAATTATTTTAAAAACCTGAAAAAAAAAATAATATCAGTATAGTTACTTGTCTTAGGCTTTCCCTACGTTTTCCTTTGTATTTTATTTTTCCTTTTAAATTTTGGCAGGTGAACTGTCCCTGGGTCTAGTTAAGAAATACCCTCCAAAACACTAGGCTGCAGGGCTGGGATTGTGGCTCAAAGGCCTCACATTCGAGGCCCTGGGTTCGATCCTCAGCACCACATAAAGATAAATAAAATAAAGTATAGGGCTGGGGTTGTGGCTCAATGGTAGAGCACTTGCCTAGCATGTGTGATGCACTGAGTTTGATTCTCAGCACCATATGAAAAAATTTAAAAAAGGCCACCAACAACTACAATAAAATATTTTTAAAAAATAAAGTGTAAAAAATTATTAAAAAACAAACAAAAAACACTAGGCTGGTTGACCTGACTCACGTTCTGTCAGTGTTTATTTGTGAGGGCTGTTTGGCAAATCTTCTTCAATCTCCTCAGATGTAAAATAGTGACAGCAGGAAAAACTTAACAAGATTCTTAGGAGCCTAACATGCACAGCTTTATTACAAGGTTTTGTCATTGCCCTCGTTATTATTGTTTAAGACAGGCTGCCTGGTTGCCCAGGATGGCTTCAAACTTGCAATCCTCAACTCCCGAGTAATTTGGAATTAAGGTGTGCACCTGCAATCCGAAATTACTCAAGAGGTGAAGTTTATTCTAAGTATTAAAGAACTGTTAAAGTGACCAGACCTCTTTCCTATGACCTAACCCCATAATCTTTTTTTTATAAATAGGTATCTTTTTTAATATTTATTTCTTAGTTTTAGGTGGACACAATATCTTTATTTTACGTGGTGCTGAGGATTAAACCCAGTGCCTCATGCATACTAGGAGAGCACTCTACCACTGAGCCACAATCCAGCCCCTAACCTCATCTTTTTAAAGATAGGCAGACAAGTGCATCTGCAGTGGAAGTAAGAATGACACAAACCAAAGGTGCTACTTCTAGGGAAAACGTGGGGTAACAAGAAAACTTACTTAGAGTCGGGACATAGAGAGGAGGCTGAAATTAATAGATTTCTGAGGGCAGGGAAGAGGATCTCATTCATCTCTGTGTCCTGAGCGCCCTGCATTAAACCTGGCACAAAGCAGGTATCCCCCCGTTTCCCAAAGTGGGTAACCAAAGAGATATAAAACATGTTTCTCAAACCTAAGTCACGAACAACGGTGAACAGGGAGGGTACAGGTCGATAATAGGTGGCTATAGTTTCGCCAGAGACCAAACAGATGGAGCGGCTGGTTCGCCACCGCGGTCTGACGAACGTGGGGGTGGGCAGAAACAGTTGAAAAAAATGAATGAACGAACGACGCCGGTCCCCCCGCAGGAAGAAAAGGAATGAGCAGCCTCGCTTATACCTGCAAAGCCGCTATAGTGTGCCCCAGGCTCGTAGTGCCTTTGGCCAGAGGACACGTCGTAGACGCGGCCGAGCAATGCCAAGTAAAGGCCCGGATCCCCTGGCCTGCCGCGGTACCGGGCCAGCTCCTCGGGTATGAAAAGGCGAAAGACGGCACGGGGACCCCACCAGCCCATTAGTCGTGCTGCCAACACTGCCGCCGCCACCACAGCCAGGCTCAGCAAGAGTCCACGCCCGCAGGTGCTCTGCATCTAGACAGCTGCACCCACACCGCACTTACGAAGTTGCCGCCCCTCTAACCACAATTAAGATGGCAGAGACGCGTCCATGACGTCACTGGCGCGACACACACACACACACACACACACACACACTTTAAAATTCTTGTGCGAAAAGCTTATTACTTGGTCCCGACTCTTTCTCATACTTTTTAAAATATAGCTTGGGAACGTAAAGGGATGGCGAGAATGTAGAACAGCAGCGGAAGACCCTCTCTGATTATAGGCTATCCGCCCCCAACAAAGATGGCGGTAGAGGAGGCTGCGGGATGACGTAATGTCTTGACAGACGCGTCTTCTAGGAAATCAGGGTTCTACCCTTTGCTGAAGCTGTCCTTGTCTAACTGTCCTGAGTTGGTAGAGTCGCTTAACGGTGACGTTGCAACAGTCCTCACTTGACGGCCAGGAAGTCGGAAGCCGCTGCCGCCGCCGGCGTCCCCTGCCTGTCCCCACCCGCCGGGTGCTGTCGGAGGTTGACAGGTCGTGGCAGGGAGGCGGCGGCGGCGGCAGAGCCGGGCACCCAAGACGGAGACCCCATGGGGAACGCTCCGAGTAACAGCAGTGAAGACGAAGCGGCAGCCGCCGGGGGCGAGAGTTGGGGCCCACACCAGGACTGGGCCGCGGACTCGAGCACGACCCCTGGCTTGGGCCCTGCTGCCCCCGCGCTGCCTCCCGCTGCCGCGCTGCTGGAACCTGCCCGGCTACGAGAGGCAGCGGCTGCTTTGCGGCCCGCACCGCCCTACGAGTCGCTAGTGTCGAGGCACCACGGCGCGCTGCTACGCTGGTTGGAAGAGCGGCTGGGCCGCGGCGAAGAGTCCGTCACCCTTGAGCAGTTCCGGGAGCTTCTGGAGGCTCGTGGCGCTGGTTGTTCCGGCGAGCAGTTCGAGGAGGTCAGGGCCGGCTGGGTACTAAGGGGGCGGGGGCAGGGGCAGGGCGGTCGCCTCTAAGGGTTGTAAAGAGGTGGGCAGTCGCTCTGGAGAGATCAGGCAGGAATCCACAGAATCTGCAGGTTCTCAGAATCAAAGCATGGGGTTGCTGGGACTTATTTGAGGTGTTTGTAACCTGTTCATTCTGGGCGCGTGCTACCTCTCTCTCTAACCTTTCTTAAAGGCGTAGAAAGAAGGGTCTAGGCTGGCCTTGCTCTACAGCGCTGAATTAGCCAAAATGTCTTTGCATGTTGTAATGCAGGTATTCGTTCAGTTGACAGACGCTGAATTAGTTGCTCGGTGGAGTTTCCTTATTAGGCTCTAGATCAGTTTAAGAGAAAGGATGTTCAAGGATCAAGGGAGTGGCAGTGAACACCATTATGTTTTAGTGGCCTGCGCAGTTTTTTTTTTTTTTTTTGAAAACACCTTCTCAATCTAGTGTGGCAGCCAATAAATGTGGAAGGAGAATAACATAAACTGGGAAGATTCACACTCTATAGGCTATTCTCATCTCGAAAACACTGGCTTTTCCAAAATACATACTCGATTTTAGATCCTTGAAGAATAGGTTGTAGACTCATTTAAGCCATTATAAACCCCTCCAAAATTAGGATCCCCGTGGGTACTTGTAAATATACAGTTTCTCCTCATATCTGCACTGAGCACTTCATTTTAGAGTTAGAAAAAGACAGATTTAGCGTTACCCAGTGAGTTATTTTATTGGCAAAATTGGAACTATCATTCAGATCTCTTGATTTTTAAAAATGTCCCATTACTTTCTTCCTAGATCCTATTTCAGTCCACAGTGTTTTCTCTCTCTCTCTCTCACACACACACACACACACACACACACACACACACACACACAGAGTTGTTTAATCTGAAAATGAATAAGCCGTGTAGAATCATCAGTCAATGAAGGATGAGTACATAAAACAGTAAACCAACAGGTACTTATAATGTCATTGAAAGGTTCTGTTTACTTTAAGACCAGAGACTTTTGAAATGTTTTAAGAATTTTTTCCTGTACATGACAAGAATATTAAGGCAATGTAGTTTATATGTTTGTTTCTTTTCTTTGGTGCTGGGGGTCCAACCCAGAGTCTTCACATTCTAGGCAAGTGTTCTACCACAGAGCTATTTACCACCAGCCCTTGTATGTTTCTTTTTGGTGGTGGGGATTGAACCCAGTGCCTTGTGCGTGCAAGGCAAGCACTCTATCAACTGAGCTATATCCCCAGCCCCCTTGTGTATTATGTTTTCCTAGAAGAAAATGCCTTAAGACATTCTGATTCTTAAAAATATTGGTCTTTTTTGGTCTTTTTAGTGAAAGATCTCCATTTAAAAAAATTCCAAGAAAACACATAATACTTTCACTCTAGTACCTATACATATTATAAGAACATGAAGCAGTGGTAGAAAGAACTGCAGATCTGCTCAAGGAGTTGGCACTTTTAAGATTTGTCTAAAACCAAATGGAGAGAAATGGTCTTTACATTGTGAGACAATCTGACAGGAATGGACTGATAGATGGGGGTTTATAGAAGTCCCAACATAAAAGGCCAAGAAATCCATGGGGTGTGGTCCAGAAAAATCACTCCAGGGCCGTGGCATTAGTCATATGTTCAATTGAGCAAATATTGGTTGGGCCAAGCATTTGGATGACAGTGGACAAAGCAGATACTTATCTTAGAGTATGTAGCATGGTGGAAGAGGCAAATATTAATCCAAGTAAATGTGTGGTGAATATTTTCTAAGTAAAAGGTTAGGAATAAATTTGAAATGTATTTAAGCTCATCCAGATATCAAACAAGACTTAAATAAAAAAGTAATATTTTAGCCTAGATTTGAAAGGTAAAGCAGTTAAGGAGCTGGACAAGGTAGCAGTGTTTTTAGGTAGAGGTAATTGCATCCAGAGAATCCAGAGAATGGAGAACCTGGAGTCTGTTATGGTATAAAAATTTAGACAAAACTGCTTCAGGGAACAGGAAACCCAAAGAATTTTTTGTTTTTAAACAAAAAGTTTTCTTCTTGTGCTGGGGATTTAGCTCAGTTGGTAGAGTGCTTGCCTCACATGCAGAAAGCCCTGTGTTCAATCCCCAGCACCACAGTGGTGGCGGGGAGCTTCTTATGTGAAGGTCCAGGGATGATATGGTGGGTTCAGATATCAAGGACTTGTCTTCATCCATTTTGTGCTGTCTGCCTTCCACAGGTACCTTCAACTTAATGATCCAGTTGACTTCTCCTGCTCTCACTTTCCACATTCCAACAAGCAGGATAGGAAAAGGAAAGGAGATGGCCACATCCCCCTTTTTTGTCTTTATTGTCACCTGGCCACACTTATCTGTAAGAGAGGCTGGGAGCCTGGCCTGGTGGTGCATGCCTGTAATCTCAGTGACTCAGGAGTCTGAGGCAGGAGAATCACAAGTTCAAAGCCAGCCTCAGCAACTTAGTGAGGACCTACATAACTTAGCAAGACTATGTCTCAAAAATTAAAGAGAGCTGGGAATGTGGCTCAGTGGTTAAGTGCCCCTAGGTTTAATCCCTGGTTCCTCCCCACCGCACCCCCACCTCCAAGCAAAAAAAAAAAAAAAGAGAGAGAGAGTGGGGATGGGAAAGATCATTATTCCATGCCCTTATTTTAAGCTTAAAAAAAAAAAAAACCCAAGATTTAATTGCTGAGGAAAAGGAAAGCAAATATTGAGGTATAGTTAATTTCTTTAACACAAGGCCAGATCATAGAATGTAGAAGGAAGAAAATGAGGTGAACAGTAGGCAGGAGCCAGACATTCCAGTCCTTTGCAGCCTGGTAAGGAATTTGGAAATTGGAGTTTTAGGCAAAGAATCACCATAATGATTCCTGTTGCCTGATGAAGAACCACAGAGAAAGACCATAGTAGACCCAAGGAGAAAAGTTAAGAGATTATTGTCATAGTCTAAGTGAGAAATTTGGTGACTTGGGCTAGGGTGGTGGCAGTGAAATGACATGAAGTGGATAACCTTTTTAAGTAGAATATACAGTTCTTAGAAATATTGTATATGGGTAGAGGACTAGAAGGAGAAATAAATTAAAGATGATTCCTACATTACTGTTTAGACTAATTAGATGGTTTTGCTATTTTATTGAGAAAGGAAACATTTCAGGGAAGGTAAGATCTGGAGCAGGAAGAGTTATGTTTTAGATATGTGAGTTTCAGATGCTGAGTGGAGATGTCAGACTGTTGAGTTTGTGTGTACTGTGCATGGTGTATAGAGTCATCTATTTGCAGATTGTATTGGGCCTTATGAAAAAATATCCACATTGTGTCTATAGATTATGCTCAATGATAATCCCTCAGATGTGGTCCATGGACTATTTAGCATAGTCAAAATCAGAAGCCTTTCAGTTGCAGTTAAAAAATTACATGGGAAGAAAACATGAACAGTTCTATTTTATTAAGGATCCCAGGATCATTATATTATCTATGTGGCAAAAATTGACATTAAGGAGTTGTTAGCATAGCATTTGAACTGGTGATTATAAAATGTTGGAAATTTTTATTTCATTTTTGTAAAAATCCCTGGGACAATCTGGAGTTATGTCATAGGATAATTAAGTATCCAAACACAGCCACATTCCCAGCCCTTTTTTTTTTTTTTTAAATATTTTATTTTTTAGTTTTCGGCGGACACAACATCTTTGTTTGTATGTGGTGCTGAGGATCGAACCCAGGCCGCACGCATGCCAGGCGAACATGCCACCGCTTGAGCCACATCCCCAGCCCCCCAGCCCTTTTTAATTGCTAAGTTGTGTAGGTCCTTACTAAGTTGCTGAGGCTGGCTTTGAACTTGTGATTTTCCTGCCTCAGACTCCTGAGTCACTGAGATTACAGTGTGCTTGGAAGTTGTTTTTCATTTCATCTCCCTCTTTACCTCAGCTCAAATACATGGTATCTGATGACTTAGGCCAACTCTGTGGAGCAGGTGGATGACAAGTACCAAACTAAGAACAGAGAACTAAACTAAGGTCTTAAAAGGATCAGTGATTCATGTAAGATAAGAAACTAAGTTTGGGCACCATCTTTCAAAGACTCCAGAATTTGTGCCCTTTTCCCCTTAAGAACTGGTGCTCTGGGTTCATTTTTCTTTGGTCTTGAAAGTAGATAATAAACTCTTTAATTTTCCCCTCATGCCAAGGAAGGCTGGGCAGGGATAATACAACCTGAGAAAAAAAGTCATGTGTTTTTCTTGAAGCTTGTTTACCATATTCAGGTTTGGTATGGGAGGAGTTGGGGCTTGGTTTGATACTAATATTTGATGACCCCAACTGGTTAGCATTGGTTAATTGAAGAGGGCACTTTTGACTCAAAGCCAAGGTTTAAAGTCTTGGTGGTGATAATCTCACAGTGATTCTTCTATCCATAAATGAGCAACAATTGTATCAGAAATAGCCAAAGAAAATAAATATTGGCCATACATTTGATACTTGCTTTCAAAATATTTCTGTCCTTAGACTTGAACAAACTTCTGTATATGATACATTTAATTCTACACCTAATTTCCAAAAATGTAAAATAAGTTTAAGCGTTTTGTGAAATGATAAAATGTCTTTGTTGTAACAACTGAAATGACAAGTGATTTCCCCTTCATTCATTTTTATAATAACTAACGTAAGGCTGAGCATGGTGGCCTACACCTGTAATCCCAGCAACTCAACCAGGAGGCTCAAAAGTTTGAGGTCAGCCTCACCAACTAAATGAGACCCTGTCTCAAAACATAAAAAGGGACTGTGGATGGATGTAGCTTGGTGGTAAAGTGCCCTGAGTTCAATCACACACACACACAAAAGCTAACAGAGTAGAGCAAATTATCATGGGTGTACATGATTTATTATGATAATGCTAAGAATTCCCAAGTATATCATGCTTGTTAATTTGCCTCCATTTGCATTGCTGTTTAAGCCCACCCAGTTGTCTTATTTTCAC